CCGATGCCGCGTCCTCGGGGGGCCGCCCGAGGAGCCTCTTCGCCTCGAGATGAAACGCCCCCCCGGCGAGGTCCCACGTCGCCGGCAGGAGGCTCGGCAGGCCCGGATAACAGACAAACCCGCTCGCCGCGGCGACCCTGAAATGGGGGTCGGAGAGGAGAAGGCCGTAGGCCATCCACCGCAGCACTTCAGACGAAGGAAAGGGCCGAGCCGGGGAGGACGCAGGGGACTCCTCGGGAAGCGGCCGCCCCGGCTGCAGTTGGAACAGGCTGGCGTGAAAGAACCGGCTGAAGGCCTTCCCAACCCGCACCAACGCCGCCGCCGCCGCCGCCGCGGCGGGGGTTTTTTTCCCATCGTCCTCTCGCGTGGTGGCGTTTGGAGGGGTTTTATGGTGGAGGGAGGTTTCATATAGCCGCACACCGCGGCTCGCGTAGGCCGCCATCCGACGTGTGGTTTGGTCGAGGCCTTGCCCTTCCGCCTTGTCCGACAAAGCCCCCAGGACCTCCTCCGGCGTCAGCGGTTTCGCGCTTGCCAGGATGATCCGAATTAGGTGGAATCGAATGCGAAGTTGGAGCCGGCCGGGGGTGATACTTTCATCCCCCGCCGGTGAACCCCCCGGAGGTTGAGGATGCCGCGATGAGGCTTCACTAGGCCCTTGTGCGGCTGCGGTGGCCCCAACTTCATCATTTGCGGGGCCCACTTCGGCGTTTTCGGGCGTTGGTGCCACCCTTGTTGGGCAGGAATCCTCGCCCTCGACGTCCGCTACCTTGGCCATCGCGGGTGGGCTTCCGGTGTGTTTCCCGCGGGTGGTAGAAGACGTTGTTGGTGCTGAAATGGTGCTCGACATTCTGTTTTTTTCCACGCCCGGATTGACGTCCTTTTGAAGCCGTTTTTCATCTTCACCCAACACACTTGGCTTTATGGATGGTTTTGCCACATTTCTGTTTATCGCCTTGTCCAAGACAATGGAGGAGGAAGATATCGAATGGAGGCCTGCGCGGGACGCGGCGGCGCACATGCGGGAACAAATAGATATGGAACACCGGAGACGAAACATTTATTTTTAAAAGAATGTAAATAGCTCTTGCACGAAGCAAAAAGACGAAAAACACATCAGCTGTGAAGGGTTCTGTTTGTATTCATTTTCTCTACGACCATGAACACTGGGGCAAGCATACCACGCTGATGTCAAGGACACATATAGGGAACAGATGTCAGAGAAAAGGTTCAAAATAATAGTTATACTGTCTATCAACTTATCCAAAGGAAATGAAAAGTGATGTCTTCGCACTAAACACATATTAGTTGGATTCACCTTTCAGGTTCACTCACTCATCGGTGCTTACGCACAATTGCTAGTCTTTTCATTTCTTCCTCCACTCGTAGGTCGATATCAGCGAGTATTTGCTCTTCCATTTCTCGAATCTCATCTTCAGGGTTATCGTCATCATCGCGCTCAAAATTGGTTTGAGGTTCCGGCGCCGACGTCGGCGCCTTTGAAAGGGACATTACATCCGTCTCGTATTGTCTATCAATCCCTTCTCTAGAACGATTGTCTTTTATTTTCGATAGAATATTAAACAACTGAGAATTTAAATTTATTTTGTCACTGTTCATGGATTTCTGTGCGGGCACATCAACGCACCGTTGGAGACCCCTCCAGTTGATGATATTCCCCGAGGAGGTCGAGTTACTTTCGTCTTCGCTCTCCGATTTAATGGTAGCGAAGCTATCGGTACAACAGACATTGCATTTCGGAGATTTATTGAGTATGTTATCGGAGCTTGGTGTGGTAGTGTCTTCTCGCGGAGCCGCGTTCGAAGTACTTGACTCATCCTCGTCATCGTCGCTTTGACTTTCTTCTTCTTCCTCAACCCTCGACGGTTGAGATGCGGTGCAAAAAACTTCATGGTACAAGTTGAGCACCGCACGTGAGGGTGACAACTTGGAAAGTTTGGCTCCAGAGGTATCCGCTGACGATGTCTCGATTACTTGCGCTGTTCGCGCTGCCCCCTCAAGGTCATCTTGCTGAAGCTGCTGGATAAGCTGTACGCTGAGCGTGATATAATTTTCTAACTGCATCAACTGCGTGTCGGCTCGAAGGGGGGTAACAGAAGTCATGACTCTCTTTTTTTTCTTTTCTATTTTGAAGGTTGTGATGTAAGAATCCTTTAAAATAATTTTTAAGTACTGAGAAGTAACAACACGTTATCCAAGCATGGATTCAGACCATTTTAATCGATCAATAATTATAACTAATGGATTTCTTCCAAAGGGATTGGTGAAAAATCGACACACTGCGTATTGTTGTCACACTGTTGCAATATAGGATCAGTAAAGAATAACATACTATATTTTAAGTGCGTCCATTTTTTTATTTTTACTTTTTCTATCTTTTGCCTTTTCCGTCGCCGAAACACATCACTTTTGCTACTCAATCAGCCAGTACTTTCCTACAGAATGTTCCTTGGATAGTTGTGTGAAGTAGTCCACCATCACTTCATTCGCCCCGGCGACGATGCTTGTATCGCGCGTCATATCAAACGGCATCCCGTACAGGTTCGTCACAACCCCGCCCGCCTCGGTTATGAGCAGAGCCCCCGCACACACATCCCAAGCCATGCTGGCTGGATCCATATAACCATCCACGCGCCCGGCGGCGATCTGGGAGAGGGTCACCGCACAGGAACCGTAGGCACGCACCCCTGGCAGATGATCACGCGACATGCGGCCGCGAATATTCAGAATAGCGTCAATCGCTGCCTCCTGTTTTGCCGCGCGGATCTCATCCCTGACGTAGAGCGGCTTCTTTTTTTCCTGCTCGGAGAGCCGCACCACGGGGGGAAGATTCACCACCACCAGCGCCGTCCGCAGCGTCGCCTGTGGGTTGACGTGAACGCGGACCCCGTTGAGGTAGGAGCCCTGGCCTTTGACGGCCGTGAAGAGCTCCCCGACGCACTCCGGCATCCCGCCGCGCGAGCCCGCGCTTTTCGGCCCCCCCGCCACCGTCTCCGGGACCTTCGGCGGCTGGGCGGGCGGTTGGGGCTTCGGTGACAGTTGGGGCTGCTGGGACAGCTGGGCGGGCGGCTTGGACTGCTGCGAGAGCTGCGTGAGGAGTGGAGCGGGCGGCTTGGGCTGCTGCGACAGCTGCGAGAACAGCGGGGGGTGCTGGGACACCTGCGAGGTCCGCTTGGAGAGCTGGGACAGCTGCGAGGACTGTTTGGAGTGCTCAGAGGTCTGTTGGGGCTGTATCGCGGCCTCGAAATGCTGCCGGAGCTCCGCGGCCTGCTCGACCCCGACGTGGCCGCTCACGAGAAAAGGGCTGAACACCACCGCGAGCACCGGCATCGTTTGCCAGGCCAGGCCGATGCTCACGCAGCAATCGGGGAGGCCGTGCGGGAAGGACGTCGCCCCATTAATCGGGTCGATAATCCAGGTGAGGTCATTCGTCAGCGCCTCGTTCGACCTCACCCCCGCGATCCGGAAGTGGAAGTTCAGGTGGGGGTGCTCGGCGAGGACGCTGTGGTTGTACTGCTCCAGCACCTCAATAATCGCGACATGGCAGCGGAGGTTGTACTCGGCGATGAGGCTATTCGGCGTGGTTCGTTTTTCGAGGGATCGCCGTCTGGGTTCGTAAGAGTCGCCGCTCGCGTTTTTAGGGCTTTTCGAATTCGGTAGAGGCGCCTCACCGGATTTTAAGGGCGTCGATGTCTTCCCCAGCTCCTCATCGGGGTTGTTGAGAGGATCCCCGCCGGGGATGGATGGCTCAGTTTTTGAGGGCAGGCTCGTCGCGGCGGCCGATGCCGCGGAGGCCATGCGCATGCTTTGCGAGGCATCCCAGATAATTCGCCCAGCGCTGCGGGCGGCCTCAATCGCAGCCGCCAGGGCCTGTGTTAGGTTGATCTCAATATCCGAGACCGACACTTTGCTTTCAGACATGGGTATCAAGACTCAGGAAAGCTATTTCTTACAATAAGAAAAGGCTAATCGATTCTAATTGTTATACTTGACGGATGATTGTGAATTCGATAAAAATTGCCATGTATTAGAAAAGTATTGGATATTTATTTTTCATTCCGAATCACTACTGAACATGGAAAGGAACATATTAAAGAGAAGAACAGCCCCTCTTTAGTGGATAAAACAACATGTTTCACCCTTTCTTATTTCCATAAGCAGCCTGGGTCATAATTTACTTGTGATGCATGCGCGTCTTCGAGGCATTACCTCCATGCACATTTTTGATTTTTTGTTTTTGTGGATAGTTTTCATATAAAGGGGTGTAAAGTGTTCGAGTCTGTGCACCTTTGTTCTCCAATACTGGTACGAAGACTAACAAATCGCCAAGCCTGAAGTTTTCAATCGATGGTCCTAGCAGATCTTGGAAGGTGATACAATCTGTCGAGGTAAAGTGTGGTCTACGAAGCTGCATGTCACCAATGGGAGTGATTTTTGGCTTTCCATTAGCAAGCCCAGGGGAAACGCTTAGAACACGAACAACTTGTAGAGGCACCATGAGGCCCTCCCTCACCCCCATCGATAATCCATTCCTTTTATCAACAACGGTCTCGCGTTGTCGTTTGGGATATCCTGGCAGAAGCACGTCCCTTGCCGATGTGCTCTTCGCCAGAACCGTTTCCAGCATCTCCCGTAATGTGGTGTCGCTCCAGAGATAGACCTGAACGATAAAGAGCTCAGAGGATGCCGTTTTCAATGTATTGTTATTCGCTTCCCCGTCCTTTGAGTGGGCTTCCGTGAGCTTCTTGTCAGAATCCGCGGTGCCTGGCGAATACACCCGAATTATGGTTTGAAAGGCTTCCGGCACCACCGCCGCGGTGTTCGCCGCGATGAAGATAAACTGACAATGCGGTGGATTCGCAGGAGGGGGAGGAGATGGAGGAAGAGAAGGCGCTGGAATCGTTTTCTCCCCCGAAATTGAGGGCTTGCCACCCCTGACTTTCTTCGCGTTTTTTTCAAAATTCCACCGTACACCGGGGCGAAAGGCTGCGTGTCGGTCTACGGTGCGGTGGTCTGGTGCTGAAATCCAAAATTGTGAACGAAAGTTTCCCGGATAATTTGAAACCTCCACACTTCGAGCCTTCTTTGAGGACTTCTCTATATTTACTTGAGCTAATTTATTCTCCATTAGTTTCGTCCTTTTTTTTGTGTAGGTTGCCCTTTTGTGTATTTCACTGTATATGAATTCTTCAATAGACTTAGAAATGAATTCACTCATGCATCCTTTTCAATACGCGGCACAAAAAATAACATAGTGTAAAATGGGTAGATGGCAATGGAAAAAAGAATAGTAGAAAAGTGGAAGGATGCAGTGTAGACTATCAAAAACTTTTATAAAAACACACAAACCAGAATCAATACTTCAATTTAAACATAAGGTAGAAATGATTTTTTTGCCAGGAATAAAATATCGAAAATTAAATTACAGGACACATTATCCAATTCCCAAAAGTGTGCCCAAAGTTTTTTTAATGTTAACTTTACAATATTTCTTTGTGACCTCAACTTTAAGGGGGTGTTGGCCCTAACATATTACTGATAATATAATTAAAAATGTAACAATCTGTACACACGTACACGCATAATAAATATAGTAAATTCTTTTGTTTGGTCTTCTCTTTTCAATAAAAAAATTAAAAGAGTTTGTCTCTGGTTCATTTTATCTTTGCAGCTATGAGATAATATCAGGCAGTATATTATCTGTATGGTGGGGTTTCATTACCATATCTAACGTGTTTTAAGTGTTTTATATCTGTCATTATTAACGGTTGATTTTATTTAACAATATATATATATATATAACGCAAACTAAGCTAATGCAAACTAAACTAACGCAAACTAAACTAACGTAACTTGTAAAACCATATTTATATGTGTGTCTAGTTAGCGGAGATAACTATACGCGGAATCTCATACGATCAAATGGTAGTAAATACTGATCATTATATGAAAAAACTCATGAAAGATATAAAATCAAGATAGATCACTACAAAAGTAGCTATAAAAATAAACAGGTTATACCGTATATATGCATATACATACATGCATATATGTATACGTATATATATACATGAGAGGCAGATAATTTCTGTAAGGTAAACACAAGCAACGAAAATAAAAATAGAAATATTGCTATATCAGTAATATTTGCTACGTTGAATTATTAATTATATATTTATAAATTAAAGAAAAATTACATGCGTGTCTTACCTTTCTCCACCTATATATTTTAGTACCATTTTATATTAGGGAATCGCATTAGTGTAGATATCTGAGTGTATCTATATTATTAGGTAGAAATCCTTAGGGGAGGATTATAACATAAAGAATATATAGAAAAGTCGAACATTATTAATATTTATAAATGTGCGCTTTTTAACTACCCATCCACCTTCTTTCAATATCATTGTTTCTTTTTAGTACTTAAATGGCTTATAGGAGTGAATACACATTAGCATACGCTATTAACATTACATAGCAGCACTTTATTTTTTATTAGTGTAAATATTCGATACATAATATGATACACAATGTTGACATCATATATAGCTATTCTCCGAGACTTCCCTTTTCTTATCACTACCTGGTTTCAGGATCCTTTTCAGGGTAATACATGGTCCATTTCCTTTGTTGTTATCAGTGTTTACGTCCACTTCTCAGCGGATTCACCAGATTCTTGTCGACAGGGAGCGCTGAGTCCTTCTGTGGGGTCTTCTGGGAGTTCTTAAGGGGACTTTCCGTTGGGGGTTGCCTTTGCGTGGGTGAGGCGGCGGAAACGCGTGGCGAGGCCACCCGATCCTTCACGTTTTCAACGAAGGAGATCATCCTGCGCTGTTTCATCCCTTGAACTTGTAACGAGATCCCCCCCAAAATCAGGAAGCCCACGTAGTAACTGCCGAGTGAGACGTAGGTCTTCCACACCCGCCAGTCCGAGAAGCCCAACAACTCAATCTCGGTCTTCCCATTCGGGATGCTGCAGGTCGGGGTGACAGGGTTGCAAATCACATCGAGCCGCGAGAACTCGTTGACGACACTGCCGATGTAGGCGTGACGAGGGAAGGAGATATACATCAGCCACTCCCAGTACGGTATCAGGCGCTCCGTGTTGGAGAAGAGCCCCGCGGTGATGAAGAGCGGGAGCATGATGGCCGGCATCACCGCGAAGGCCACCTGGGCGTCTTTAAAGAAGGACGCTATGAAGAGACCGAGGGAGTAACCGAGGTTGGCGAAGAGGATCATTATGAACAAGTACGAAAAGAAGGCGTCCGCGCTTCGGTAGAGATGCATCATAAAATAGGTAATTGTGCATAGCACGGAGGGAAAAAGTATTTGGAATGGTAATTCCGCCAGGGCCTTTGTAACGAAGAATATGGAAGCGTTGTAAGTGCAGGTGGCTTGTTCTCGTAAGAAAATGGGGCGCTCGGTGGCGAAGGAGCTCACACCGGCTGAGATCGAGGTAAAAAGACCGCTCACGAGGACCATATATAAGCTACCTTTGCGGTCCTGTACCCCTTCATCATTAAGCTTTAATCCGAAGAAGAAAAGTCCAAAAAGCACGCCGAACAATATTGTCTGGACCCAGCGCCCAACAAACGCGACGGAATCGCGGAAGAACATCCGAAGTGCCCGCGTAAAGAGCATGTAGACCTGGAGGTAGTAACTCGCATATCTCCGTGAGATGATTTCCTCCATATCTGGGTTGGATGTCGTAATCGGTCCCGTTAAAGGCACCAGACAGGGGTTATTCCTGCTCGCGTCCGATGCGACGTGGTTCTCCCAGGCCATCTTGAGCTCCAAGATTATCTCCTCCGGGAGCTGCATGATGTTCATGTAGTATTCCGTCGGGTTGGTGTGCGATGGGACCTTGTAGCCGATGGAGGTGAAGTAGTCCACGGATTCGTCGGCGGGGCCGTGGTAGATGGTATATCCCTTCGCAAGCAGAAGGAGGTCGTCGAACTGTTCAAAAAGATCAGAGCTGGGGGAGTGGATTGTGGTGATGACGGTCCGGTGGTCGTTCTTCGCGAGGTCCTGCAGGAGTTGCCCAACGCGCAGGGCGTTAACCGAGTCAAGCCCGGTCGTCGGCTCGTCGAGCAGAAGGATAAAAGGATTGGTCACGAGCTCCGCGCCGATGTTTGTGCGCTTGCGCTCGCCGCCGGAGACGCCTTTGAGGATGCCCGGCATGCCGAGGTAGGTGTTCTGGCACTTCGTCAGGTGCAGCCGCTCAATCACCTCCTCAACGCGTTGGTCGGCTTCCTCTTTGCTGAGCCCTAGACGGAGCCGGGCAGAGAAGTTGATCGCCTCCCGAGGGGTATCCTTGCACATCACAATATCGTCCTGACAAACGAACGAGGTGAGGGCCTTGTAGCGCTGCTGATAGACCGTGTTGTTGAGAAAACAGCAACCTTTCATGACGCCGGAAGAGTTTGATATTGTGCCAGTGATGCAGCCCAGGAAGGTAGTTTTACCCGCCCCGGAGGGCCCCATGATCGCCAGCACCCGCCCGGCTTTCGCGCGGCCGCTGAAGTTGGTAATCAGCGGCTTGTAAACGTCTTCCTCGCCTTTCTTTCCCTTGACCAACACCTCGTAGGTGAGATTCTCCCACACCAAATCCATCTCAAACTTCAAGTGAGACTCATTTATAGGTTTCTTCTTTTTGAACAACGAACATTTGTTTCGACATGAGTCCTTGGGAGAAACGGAATTCGCGTTGGTAGAGATCGCTCCGGTTGCACAAGGTTCGTTCGGAGAGATGCATCTCTTCGAATCAAAAGGGTCCGTCATCATAATCCTTTTATTATCCAAATATTTCTTAGAGAACTATATATTAATATATGTATCAATATTAGTTATAGGTAAAGCAACTAAACTATTGTATCAGTTTAAACTGTGAATATGAATTCTTCGAAGTTTATTATGTATTGGTGTATTTATTTGAATTACTATACCAAAAGGAGTATGTCTTAGAATGTTTATAAGAAAGACACCAGAACAAAGAGAAAAGGATTTGGCCAAAATATTAGATATCATTCCAGACAATAAGATGAAAGAGAGAGGAAAAAAAAAGTGCGTAAGTTTATGTTCCCCCGTATTCCGAATTGCCCTGATTAAGAGTCAATACAAGGGTCAATATAAAATAGGGTTCCCACTGTTTGCGTCCTCTTCCTCAAAAAATATCTGAACTTGAAATATTCAGGGTGAATTTGTATTTTTAAAAGACAAAATAAAATATGCTTAATCAATTCAAAACAAAATAATCTCGAAGGTTCTATTTTCATGCGTATAGTCCTCGTATAAGGCGTCATCGAAGAAAGAAAAACGGCAGAAGGAGAATCTCAAGGTATATAATATTTTTGCCACTTCAGATATATTGTGTGTATATATATAAATCCTCATGGAGGTAATAACTCAAATTTAATTCAATCTTTTCACTTTTTTTCCTGATAATTATAAATAATAAAACATTTTATCAAATATTAAAAGATTCCATTTCTTTGAACAGCATTTAGTAATGGAATGGGGAGAGAGGAAGTGAAGAAAGAGAGAGATAGCTGTGTTTAAGCTAAAGATAATCAGTGCGTGCCAATGTAAAGGGCAAAATAATTTGATGGGGGGTAGGAGGGCAACATACAGGCAAAAAGAAGGAGCAAACATTATATATTCAAATCATAATTCCGGTATGTTCTATATAATATTCCCAGAAATTTATACACATTTTTTTATAGGAAAAAAAAAATACACATTTTTTATTTACATCCACCAAACTCAGTTGTACATAAATACGACTAAATTAGCTGATTAATCGATAAAATACATACAGATATATATAAAAGTGACTTTAACGGCCAAGTCGCACACAAAAAAACTATTGATTTTTTCCTGATTTGCCATACCCTCCAATTCCCTTTTCCATCCATTTTTAATTTTCTGTTAATCTTATTATTATTCTTACGATAACGCGCCTATTTATACTCCTTTTCAAGTCGGATGAGCTCTAAAATGCCCTTCTGCATCTCCAGCACTGCCTCGTGCTCTGTCAGTCCTAGACGGCGTTTGTTGCTTATATCATAGCTGCCGTCTTTGCTCTCGGAGTGCTCACCAGAGGTACCGCGTACCTGCAAGTTAAACTTCTTTGCCACCTCCTCCAGCTTCGCGCGGTCGGCACAGAGGTGGGGGAGTTTAATCAACACACTCGCGCGAATTGTCGTTCCGAGGTTGGTCGGGCAAAACGTCAAGAAACCCAGACGGTCATCTCGTGTGAAGGGAATGCGCTTCTCAATTGTGTCCACCGCCTTCTTGAGCCTCCCGAAGATCTCTTTGAGGTTTCCGCCCTTCTGCATGGAGATAATCCGTAGGTGGTCCTCCTCGTTAACCCAAACAAGAAAGGTTTTCTTGTCGTTGTGGAAGATCCCGCGACCGACGGGCCAATGCTCGCAAGCGTGCGCGGCTTGCAGGAAGCGGTCGCCTTCCTTAAAAAGGAAGTGGTCGTCAATCAGCTGCTGTTGGGTTCCTTTGGTCATCCCGAGAAGGGAGTGATAGTTGCCTTTGAGTTCACCGTCGAGTTGCTCGAGGGTTTCCTTCACCATCGTCTCCATCTCGACATATTGGGGCTCCGTCAGGAGGGGATTAAAGGGGAAGCCAACGATGCTACGGCCGCAGCGAACGCGTGTGGAGATGATAAATCGACCCTCCGGGTCCAGATCGGTAAGGTCGCTGAGGTCGCCGAAGTTCTTCGGGGGCTGTTTGGCACTTGGCTTGAATCCCTGATGGTAGTCTTCGATAATAGGATCAAACAGAGGGGCAAAGGTCTTGTAGGACTCCCCGTCCGGTGCGTAGACGCCGCAGCCGGAGTCGAGGTTGGCAACGCCGGATTGGATGACGTCAAGAAGTGTAGCCCCCATAGCCGTCTGACGGCCAGAAACCTCGTCGAGAACTTTCCGCGTGAGATATTTCTTCAGTAACGAATTACATTCCTTGCTGTTCTGGAGTTTCTTATAGGATGCTTCCATCTCGGTGATTTGCTTAGGGGTGGCCATTTTTTATTTCCTTTTATGTATATATGTATATATATAAAGAGAGATATTTGCTTGTTGTAGTAGTTTTTCTGCTTGATATTATCGTTCAGATTTTTTTTGTGTAGAGCTTTTCTTGTGAATATTAAAAAAAAAGGTACAGATGAATAAGAAGTCATAACTAAGTACATTTATTCTTACCGATTTTAAGCACTTAACTTAGTACTCCTTCCTGAGGCGCGAAGAATGCGGTATAAACCACCCATCCCAACCCACTTTTTCTTTTTGGCAATTTCAGCTCTCTCCCCCCCCTACTGCGTCGGGTGTGATGATAAATCCTTTCCTCTCACCTACCGCATGGCGGGCTCTCCTTTTCGCATTCCAATTTCGTGTTTTCTTCTTCTGTCGAGGCCATACCCTCCCCCCCCGGGGTCGTCCCGACGCTGTCTTTATGCGTTTCCCCGGCCTCGCGCACGAGGGGGTCGGACCTGCGCGCCCGCAGCACCGGGCGCGTCTGGCGGACAAACGCAAGACAGCGATGCTGCCCGGTAAACCCCCGGAAGTCGTTCGGCGCGATCATCCACGCGGAGACCTCGTCGACGAAGCGTCGCGTGTAGCCCTGGGCCTCGTGCGGGGGGTCCATCGGCAGCCTCGCCCTCTCGGCCCCCCTTCCCAGCTTCTGCCCGGCCGCGTTGTAGAGCTCGTAGGTCGCCGGCCCCGGGAGGACCCCGAAGGAGAGCAGCGGATAGGCGAAGGAGGCCATCGCGGGGGAGTCCACCGGCCCCAGAACCACCACCTCGCGCACCGAGTGAAACCCGCGAATCCGGCAGAGCCAGTCCCGATCGACGTGCGGCTCCACCACCACCATGGCGGGGCGGTACCCCGCGAGGGCCTCGTCGACGCCGGCGGTTTCGCAGGGGAAGGACGCCGTGAGGCCCTCCCCCAGCCCTCTGAAAGTCTCGGAAAAGGCGTGGAGGCGGCGGCGCTGGCGGGCCCGCCGCGCGGCCTGCGACGGGAGTTGCGCGGATCGAACCCGCACCCCCGTGCCCGCGAGGGCGGCGTTGAGCAACCAGCCCACCCGCCCGTTACCGAAGAGGCTGAGGACCGGCGGGGGCGGCGACCCCCCCTCCTCCCCCGCCTGAATCGCCCCGGCGCGCCGGTGGAGGTAGGACGCGAGGGC